CCCCACCACCTGGCTCAGAATAAGCTGTACCGGCGACTCTTTCTCCCGACCTGCCAAATGAGCTCGGATCTTGATCATCTTCGCTTGCCACCTACGCTTCGTGTCCGCTTGCGCATTCGCGATGCGCGAGTTCTCCTTGGCGAGATGATCCTGGGCAGCCTTGACCTTTTCATGTAACCGGAGGTACATATCTGATACCCGCAAGGACTCAGCCTTATGGTGATCCCGCTCCGAGGAGAGTATCCCGATCACGTCCGACGAGCTGGCCACCCGCGCCTCAAGATCGGCGGACTTCACCCTCTCCGCATCAAGGTCGGACCGCAGCGTATCCCATTCGACAGTCGCCTCCCTCGCCGCCTCGGACGCGATAGAGATCTGCTCCTCCAACCCCCTCGATTTCGCCATTTCCAGCTCCAGTTCGGCTCGGAGCCTCTCCACCTCTGTCGAGGTCTCCCTTAGAGCGGCAGAATGCTCCCTCTCTTCCACCACCTCCCGCTCTTACCCTCGAATTTTCTTCCCCGCAAGGGCCAGCTCCTGCTCGAGAGTCGTCGCTCGGCCCGCCGACCTGTCGATCTCTTTTGGAGTATCGTCGAGCCGCTTCTCATAGCTCTCGCATATGGCGGTCATACACGCCCCGACCTGCTCAGAATATATATTCAGTCAACGGGAACAGCACAACCAATACAGTCCGCAAGCTCTCGAACTTACGCGAATCAAATCCCGCGAAGCTATCTAGAAGTTTGCGGTCACAGCCAAGTCCTCAACGGAGCGATAGGGTTCCTGCCTCCCATGCGACGCCGCATGGATAAGTTCGGCGCACTGACGTTTATCACAGTGAATGCTCCGGCCTGCTTCGCGAAAGCTAAAATCGAAGCGGTGATCCTCCTGCAGACCCGGTTCATTGGAAGGCATCCCGGGTGCCCGCGCTCCGGTCTCTCCTTCGTCCCTCTCGCCTTCGCCCTCCCCACCCTCATGGTGTTGAGAAACGATTTCACCTTGACCCCCGCCAGGCAGGTCGTCTCCATTTCCGCCATCGAGACAAACATCGTCCCGACCTCCTTGGCTCTCAGGCAGATCATCTACCTGCGCACCATCGACACCGCCCACACGATCTTCAGGACGAGTCCCCGCGAGGTCGGCCGCCACGTTTCCCTCGACGCCCTGATCTCTATTCTCCTGAGCCTGATCTCCTTGAGATTCGGGGACCCCGCATTCTTGTTCACCAGGATGCATCGGCCCCTGCTCGGACGTCGCATCTTCCGCCTCCCCTGTCCTTCGTCTTTTTGATGTCGCGTCCAACGCGACACCATCTTCCCTTTCCCTCTCAGCAGCCGTCCTCCTCCTCAGTGCGGGAACGTTCTCAGCCTCCTCATCGACGGAAGCACCAGAATTCGGGACGGCCGGCGTGGGAACAAGCGTAACCGCGTACGAAGGAATGACAAACGGGAGCGACCTGAGAATAACGTGTCAACCCCACAACACCGTAATAACCAGCTAAACGAATCAAAAAACAATCGCTAACTCACCAGGCCTTGGAACGAAGGTCGACGTCGGCAACGTCACATGCGGCCTCGGAGATGGTACGGATGGGCCCGTTGCGGCGGTTGGCCTCGCGCCAGATGAGGACGCATCGGTAGAAACAGCCGACCTAGCTCGCCTGGCAGACGCAGTAGGCAGCCCGAACGGTCTTGTCCAAGCTGCAGAAGGAGTGGTTCCAGCGACCGACCTGGATCCTTGTGCAGCCGCCGCAACAGGTTCGACCGACCTCGGCAGTACAGTCGAGGATGACGCACCGGTCAACGTAGGACGTCGTGGACGACCTGCAACGCAGCCCGGTAAAAAAAAAAAAAAAAAAGGGTTACGCCGTTTACACGACGCTATCGCCGAAAACGCCGCCACCATCCGATCAGCAGAAAAATCCGCCCACTTACGCCTCTGCACCGACCTAAGCTTGTGGAGGAGCGATTCATAGTCACCTATTCAGGGTCCATCTCGGTGTGACATTACAAAATTTTTTTTTTTTTTTTACAATATTAATACACATGCAATCATAAAAGTCGCCAATAAAAACAAATACGAAGAAGCCTTACCAGGAGAAAAATTCCAATCAGTTCAATAGCTCCGACCTGGAACGAGACTGGCCGCTTCGTTAGCCCGCACATAAAACTAGCTGCGATCCCATTCGCCAACTTTGCTCGGCTTGTCAGACGTCATGTCCAATCCCACCTTGAAGGAAGCATAATATAAGCCCAGTATAGCGGGATTACTCTTGTGATTGGTAAGATCTTCGAAAATATCAAGCGACACGTCAACACAGCTCTCCGACCCAAGAGTCAGCAACACGACCATGTTCTGCACGGTCGTCGGGCATATCTGCGAAAACGCCAAGTCTCGCCGATGACAATACGAGACAAACAGATCGGGAAGGGGGAAGCGCAGCCTGCATCTCGTAAAATAAGCCTCGCACAGGCATACAAACCCACTCGGAGGACGCCAGGGGCGATCATCCTCAGCGGGAATTCGGACCTCGACATCAGACGGAAACCCGCACCCAGAAATCATCGCCGAGATGGATTTCGAATTGCTCCAGGTTCCCGATCCCCTATCCGCATAAGAAACTTGAGGAGGCTTCGGAGCTTTAGACCTCCGGGGTCGCGGATTTTTATCGCCACCTCCAGCCTGATCGCCGCGCTCACCCCGACGGTGTCCGCCACCTCTCGAACTCCCGGTCTGAGGCGCTTTCCTTTTGGCCCGGTCAATCAGCAGAAGATCACCCCCTTCGTCTTCTTCATCACGATGAGGAGAACCCGTGCTCTCCGAACTGGTTGCCGGCGAAGAACTTTCCGTGAGCATCTCGCCGCACTCCTCTCGGGAGCCAGATTCGGTCTGAGACTCAGCCAGAATCCTATCGAAGATATCCGCCATCACGAAACGCCAAAAATCGAAATCGGAAAAGAAAAAGAGAAGAGTATAATCGAAGGAGCAAAGAGGAGAAGTTCTTTTTCCGTTTCTGTTTCCTATGCGAAAGCAAAAGTAAGAATAAAGAAGGGGAAGAGCATTTAAATAGAAGAAGAAGGGAAAAATAACCAATCAAGAGGAGAGTGATCGACACTTGGCAAAACCCTAATGATGACGCCGCTTCGGTACTGTCCTCGAGACGCGCGGAAATAAAAAGCAACAACAAATGTTCCTTTATGTCCCCGCGTGCTGGCCACGCACGGAAGTTCCGAGGTTTTCCGCGAGAAATCTTGATCCGTTTCCCGCCTATACTAAGACGCGAGGAAGTTCGCCCTAAAACCCACATACTACCGACCTGCGATGGGCCGAGCTAATCGACACCGCGAATTCGGCGCATTCAACAAACTCTCATACACCGAACTGGGGGGGGCCTATTGTTGGAGGTGGGCTTAGCATCCCCAATTAGCTAGGTCCATCTTAAACAATAAAGCCCATGGTGAAAGACAACAGAAGTCCAGCTAAAAGTCATCAGTCCAGTCAGCATGACCCCGCCTAAATCGTCATCATCACTGCGCCGATCTACAGTGCCCAGAACCAAGCAGAATACGACACGTGTAGAAGCAGGTCGTCTACAGTGACCTATCTGCACAAGTAGCTCGGCGAATAACTATCATTCGCTCGTCGCAGAGTGGTTCGAACGCGCGGCTCGAGACGCCATACCCGCGAGATGCGCTGAGGCTGCCACGTCGGCCCAATTTGGAGGAGACTCGTCTCCTGGTTCCCACTATAAATAATCCCCGTAGATCATTTATGAGGGGATCCGAAATTTATTACTCTCTCTCTCTCTACTTTAATACACTTGTCTCTCTACCGAGCTCGCTGTAACAATAATAAAAACACCGAACTGGACCCGCTCCAGACTTAGTTCGAAACACTAATTATTCTCTCCTTGCAAACACTTCTTACGTCTCCGAGCTGACCTTCTCTCTTCCTCCCCGAGCTAAATCACTCTTATTATACGAAAATTTCACTCCGAAATCATCTCTAATCATTCTCATCAACTGTTAAACATATTTAGTGATCGCTAGGATCAACAACTAACATCATTTTTTTAAGCTGCAGCAGCCGGTTTGCTTCTTGTGTTACAGTTTGTCTGGTCAAACTTTTTTGGTTTGAAAGTGATAACAAGAAATTGACCCTTGAGTTTAGTAATGTGCTATTTGATATTAGGACATTGGATGACCAAATTACCTCTCTGTTATCGAGATCAGCTTAATAATTAAAGCTGCCTATTTGTACCATTCTTTCACTATATATCTGATACCTCAGTTGACAAAAAGATCAGCCATTGCAGAGTCCCATACATTTTCATTGGTCTTTTCTTGTTATTTTAGCGTTCACATTAAAAACTTCGAAAATAGAAAATACGAAATTAAGTTATTTTGTTGCATTTAGAAGCAAGGGTTTAAGTAAACAGTTTTGTCTTTCTGCTTCTTGTTTTGAGTCTGATAGTGATAGGAAAGACTAAAGAGACACATGAATTGTAAGGCAAATAGTATGGGCATATTTAGGTTGGTTTATGAAAAGGAAATAAAGTAGGCGTTGGGGTTGGGTCAACGACATTAGAAGCTTGTCTTTGGGTATGTTAAGAGAGATCAAAATACGTTGGTTGGTTCGTTCTTGTTGACTGTTTTGCGTAACCTTTCGAATTTGGTTTCGCACCAAATGCGTTTCTATGCCTCTCCTCTGTTCAGAAGATTCTCCTATAACAAGAACCCAGGATTTTGAACTGCCGGCTAAGTTCTTCTTTAGCTATTACACCGTTTAACCAAAAGCAAGAAAAAACAGCAAAGGAACAGAAGCATCGTTACATTTTTGGGCAAAAATCATTCCTGAGAATTACAAGTTCTCCAACAAAGAAGGAACCAAGCAAGAATTGGAACTGATCTTCAATAAGATTGTGAAAACGCAAAGACCAGTCAATCTTTGTATACAGAGGTGATCATCACATCACACCGATTGTAAAGAAAGAAAAGAAACTGTATCTAAAAAGCAACCACCCAATATCATCATTCAAGTCACAAACTTTGCAAGAACCAGCAGCATAGAGATCAAACTTCCAAGAAAACATCATCCGAAAAAGACTCTAGCTATCACATTATAGTCACTAAAAAGGAGCACTTTTTTTGCATAGTAAACATCAAAAGAAAGAAACCAAAAGGATCAGGTAGATTAATAGAAAAACAAAGAGGTTTTATGAACATTACTCTTCATCTTTTTTGTTAAGCAAGCGAAGAACATTCCCTTGCAAAGTGACCTTCCTTGCCGCAAGTGAAACACTTGCTACTTCCACTTCCTCCTCCACTTCCTCTCCGATCACAGTCACGAGCCAAATGGCCAATTCCGCCACATTCATAACAAGCACCAACACCACCACCACCACCCGACGGTCTCTTGCTCGTGCAAACCCTAGCCATGTGGCCAAATCCACCACAGGTATAGCAAGTGTTTCCACCGCCGCCACCACCACCAACGTCTCCGCCTACGTTTTGCCTGCAATCCCTAGCGAAATGCCCCACATCACCACACATGTAACATCCCTCACCGCCAGATCCACGGCCACCGCCTCCGTATCTGTTTCCACCGGAGCCGCCACGACAATCTTTCGCCATATGACCAACCTCTCCGCAATTGTAACACGCTCCTCCGCCGCCGCCGCCTACACTGTTTCCACCGGCGTTCTGCCTACAATCCCTAGCGAAGTGTCCTACATTACCACAATTGTAGCAAGAACCTTCGCCGCCAGATCTGCGACCACCGCCTCCGAAGCTTTTTCCACCGACGCAATCCTTCGCCATATGGCCAATTTCGCCGCAATTGAAACACCCACCGCCGTTTCCACGGGAGCTTATCTCCTTATTTTTGAGAGAACCGCCACCGGGAGCAGTAACCTCGACGGCCTTAGTCTTGCCGTCGCTTCCCAGAGTGATTGCGTACTCAACCGATTCACCAACAGTCAAGCTTCGGAAACCATCGGAGACGATCGAAGACTGATGAACGAAAAGCTCATCTCCGCCGTCATCGGGAGTAATGAAACCATAGCCTTTGCCATCGCTAAACCAATTAACTTTTCCGGTAGATCTCGCCGCCGATTGATCTTCTTGCGCCATTAGATCAGAGAAAAATGAAAAACTAGAAACCGTTCGTGCAGAGAGAGAGAGGAAACAGCCAAAAAGGGTAAAGAAAACCCTAAATTGCGAGTACACTATTAAGCCCTAATTTTGATTTGACCCATTTATCCGCCACGTAAGCTTCCTTCTCTATCGGCGGCAGTTACCACGTGTGCACTTGAATCAGGCCTGATCTTTTCTAATTTATAAATGGGCCCATGGTTCAACTTTTGTATTGGGCCTTTATATTTAAGTATTTTTCAGCTAGAATTTTACATTTTTACTGACTCACGGAGTCACAATTAGCTAAAAATAAAAGCATCTATACCCGTCAATCACGTTGACTTGGTTCAAACACATCTATTTTAGTAGCTGATGGGTATATATTTTTTCTTTTTTAACAGCTGCTTTATATAATTAACGAGAAATTACATAGTCATAGTGTAATACATCAGATATTAAAAATGGAACATAAGAATGAAAATAGAAAACACAATCGTGTTTATTATTAAGCAAGAGAGAGATGATAGTTTTTTGGAATGTAATCGACAAATAAAATTTCATGTTACTCGAATGACTAGTTCAAACTAATTTCTTTTGAACTCGGTAAATTCATTACATGTATCACGTAATAACAATAACTAGTTTAGTAATTCATTAGCGAATAAAAGTCTTTTATTGAAGCATGTTTTGTATAAACTAGCCAGTAAACTGATTATTAAATCCGTACTAGAACATTATTATTTTAACTCCGTCCATCATAAAATGCAAACGACATCTGAATTCTGAAATGGTTATATGTATTATGTATATATAATATCCTCAATGTTCCAATACAATGTCAATCCATTTTTTTTAAACCAAATTCGTTGGCGCTTTATATAGGTTTTGGACCAAATCAAATTGACAATCTTTAATCTTACTTTTTGTTGACACATTTCCAACAAAATACTTATTTTCCTAAATTGTCAAAGTGATTTACACATAACTTATTCCAACATGTCTTTAAGTTAAGACATGGGAATTATCTTAATGTTAGTACTAGGTCCAAAACATACACCGCACGAATTTGGACTGCATTTTATTTTTATCAACGTAGCTTCGAAAAAAGGTCGATGTTGTTTTGTTTCTCTTATTAGAAAAAATAGAGAGACTACGCTGCATCCATAAAGCTTCTAGAAGGTCATCATTATTTATTAAGCTCCCGACATTAATCTGACAGAGTTAAAAAAAGCTCCCAGTATCTGACAAATGTATAACGACAAGATCTAAAGTCTATGCAACGTATTTTACTTTAGATTGGCACAAGGTCCCACCATAAGTCTAGATACTCTCGGATGACGTGGAATATTAGTGTTGGATTGAAGTTTTTGATTGATTCTAGACTTGATTCTAATGTAAATTCTTTTGCACAGTATTAGTGTTACTATTTCGCTAGGCTTATAAATTATAAAAGTATATACATGAAATCAAATAGTTTTAAAACCAAAATATTACAACCATAAGTACTGCTCAGTTTAGTCAAGAATTAACTTACACAACGACTTTTTGTTTTTTTTTTTTGTTTTTTCCAATTCATATGTTGTTGGTTAAATCTGTTTATCGTGATTAGGAAAGTTTAATCATCTTTTAGTAGGGTGTAAGAATCATCAATTAATAACAAAATCTTGTGGAGTATCTATGGCAGAAAAATAAATCAAAGAGCAATGTGGGAAGAAAAGGCAAAAGGCTAGAACACCATTGTACATTATTCAGTAACCGACTACAATTCCATATTCTTATATGTCATAATAATGATTCGATCCAATTTTTTTCTAGAGAACAGGAAAAAAGCATCTCAATCACTTTACGAACAATAAATTATTGGATCTATCGTTTTCTTTTAATCAGTATATAAATTGTAGGGTCTCAAATGGAACGAATCTTTTCCTCCCAAATTTTGGCGGAGAGCATAGCTTCATCATTTGAGCGATAATATTCTAACGAACTTATGTTAGTTGAGGCTAGGTTAGTCAACACACTTAATGTGTTTTCGAGTTTTCTAACATTTTTTTCTTTCTTGAAACTGTTTTTCAAAAATTAATAAATTAATAATACAAAGTTTAATTTATCAATAATTTATGGGTCAAATATTTAAAATAAAGATTGATGAGGGGACACTCAACAAAAAGGTTGAATTCAAAATGAATAATTATTTCATTTAAAACAAAAAATTGTGTGAAAAGAATATGAATTTATGTCAAATATAAGAAAATTTCGTGGGATGCAAACGTTTCCGGGACATAGCATCTTGAAACAAGAGTGATTCATACATTATTATCATGAGTTCATGACGAGAAGAAAAGAATATTGTCTGTCGTATTTGCTTAGCATTTTTGTGGCCCTTGTGAGGCCAATCATATTATATTTCATAAGACTAAATATTTTAAAGGCAAAAACGCAGTTGGCATTTTTTACCAGTATTATTATTACATAAACTAGCTAAATATCAACTACTAAATCAAATTAACTATTACAAATCTGAAATTTTTTAGCTAATAAATAATGTTTTTTATGTGATAACATTTCTTTTCACAAATATTTTGTATACTATCATTTTATTTGTAATATGTATGTTTGTACGATTATATTTGATTTAATATTTGTACGATTATATTTGATTTAAATGGAGTATTTAGCAAGTTAATGTAATATACTGGTAAAAGATGCCAACTGCATTTTTGGCTTTAAAATATATGGGAGTAACTCTTCACGATATGCGTTTGTAACGTCTCAAATCTAGTATTATATATAAATGTTTACATCAGTAACGTTCACGATATCTGTCGATATGCGACTGCAACATCCAAAAAACTTGAACGTAATAATAAAAAGAAAATAGAAGTATCAAGTAACAGAACGATTTTTTCGAGTTTTTTCAAATAGGAATGTTGTTGATTCCAATAAAAACGCTAAGTTGATTAATCTAGATTTTGGTTAGAAAATTCCCGCTAAAAAATATATTTAGTTGCTCGAATAACAAACTGTAATAACCTTGATTGATATAAATAATATGTACAAATCAATTTTTTTCTAATAGTACTATGATTTAAGGCTATAGTATTTTTCGTGTTCTACATGAAAACAAAATATTTTCAAAAGATATTTTTGTTTATTTATTAAGGAGTTTGGCCACAGTGATGCACAAAACCTTGATTTTTGTTTTAGTTTTTTTTTGTTTTGTTTACTAATTTAGGATTAAGTGATTCACTGGGACAAAAACGCGTTGATCCGACGTGGCACGGTGAACGATATTGATCGGCGAAAATATTATTAGCACACTGATTATCACAAGCAACTAATACAACGTTAAGCTAATGACCAAGACTTATCATTTACAATCGATTAAGCTAATCTCTGGGTTTTGCACTAATTACAACAACAACAAAAAAAACTTAATGCACTGGTTCGTCCCAATTCGATCACCGAGTCAACTCGTTACCAGCACTGATCAGTTTCCCAATTCCCTCCGCCGTAACTGCCGAATCCAGAGCCACCAACGGTTAACGGCCGGCTTCGACGAAGCATCCTCCGATCGTATACGGCGCGTTTCTCCGGATCAGAAAGCGTGCAATACGCGGCGTGGATCTTCATGAAATCGTCCGCCGATGAAGGATTTCGACCGGTTTCGGCCACGTCGGGATGGCAGATCCTGGCTAACCGTCGGTACGCCGATTTGATCTCTTGGCTCGTCGAGCCGACGGGAATTTCAAGGATCTCGTAGAGAGACGCCGTCGCCGGAAATCGATGCGGGATCTGGCGCAGTCTCGGCGGATCCTCGGCGCATGTGTAGGAAGAGGCGGTGGTCGTAGAAAAAGACGGCGAGATCCGGGAAGTTCGAGACGGTGGTGAGAGCGGCGGAAAAGAGGAGGAGAGAAATGGAGGTGCGAAGAAAGTTGGGGAAGAAGAAAGCATTGTGAAACGTCGGCGTTTTAGGGTTTTTCTGTTTGTTTTGGTTTTCAAGTTCCGATTTGGTGTGTGATGAAGTGTGATTGACGGAGGAAGCTAAGAAACTAGAGAGGTTTATTTATAGTAGGCGAAGAGGTGGATTAATCGGTTTAATTATTAGTTTGATATGATTAATTGCTTAATTAGCTCATGAGTGAGTGAGATTAAAGAGACTCTTGTCGGGTTAAGCAAAATCGAACCGGGTCGGGTCGGAGTTTTTTCGGATCCTGGAAGCTGAGTCAGACGAAAAGCTTATCCAGTTGGAAATTTTATTGGAGAAGCGATAAGAATGAAGAAACGAACGTTGAGCATAGTGGCAATGAAGTTATAATTGTAGTAGTCTAACAAAAAATTTCAGTTTCATCTTAACAAGTTTTCTATTCTCTGTCGTTTATTTGTTTTCTTCCATATTAAAGAATTTTCTGAATGGGATATCCAAGGAAAAAAAAATCTAAAACAAAAATTAATTTTAAAATAATAATCCTAAACGACACTTAATCTGAAATGGAAAAATATATGAATACAATATTTTCTCCATAATTTCCCTTTTTCTATTGTTTGTTAATTCTTAAAATTCCACAATTTCAATCCATGTGTATATATTTACTTAATCTGAAATGGATATCCACAAAAATTTCTATCGGTTATATAACATATACAAATCTAAAAAAATAAGACATTTTAAAATCGTTTTTTATGATTTCCTCTATTAATTCAGAGGGGTAATATATATTATATTTTATATTATTTGGCCATTTAGATCATTATTATAGATTTCTGTATCCAGATTTCTTAGATTGGATCGAAATAATCAGAACGGGTGTAATGTATATAATATGACCAGCTCTCTCATGAACAAGATATTTTTCATAATTATTTGTTTTCACCAATTTAATAGCCCAGGTCAACCTAATTGATCATTCTAATTTCTAAACACCAAAAAAAGTATACAAAACATGGTTTGGCCATTGCGTGTGCCATCTCTCTCACACTACTAATACCTAATAATCGCTCTTTTCACACTATAATAGCACAAGCCAAATACAATGTATTCTTTTGTTTTTTGATAAAGCAAATACAACGCATTTTTCTATCCAATAATAACGTATTTATTATGTCGGCTTCTGTGCTAAATACAATGCATTTTATAACGATTTTATAAGAACAAGTAAAACACTCTTGGCCCACTAGTCTTTCCCTGCCAGATAACTCCATTCTATATATCACAAGCTTGCGTTCTTCACACGAGAAATAAACTCATCACAATACATTGCACTAATTTGCGATATGAATGTCGATTTTCTTTGCCATTGATTATCAAAGTTATGAAAATTTGTTAGGACAACACACGAAAACATTGCAATCCCCTATGCAGGGATCGAAAAAATTCAAAAGCTTTCTTGATTTTAATTCTCATATTCCTCTCTGATACTACAAACTTCTCTAGAGTTTTTTTAGACCTTTTGAGAAATAAGATAACGACAAGACTACACAAATTATACTCGCGTATCAGTTCAAGTTGCTCGATAAAACTGATTCACAAGCTTACGTGTTTCCCACTCTATATACACAATACATAAACTCATCACCACATTTCGCTAATTTTCTATTATGAATTATCAATTTCTTTGTCATTGATTATAAGATATACGAAAATATGTTACAAAACCACATGAAAACACTGCACTCGATCCCCAGCCTTCTACATATAAGGGATCAACAAAAATTCACAAGCTTTCTTGATTTGATTAGGTCTTTCCTCACCAATTGATAAAATACTGCAAATAACTTTTTTAGACCTTTCGAGAAATAAGATAACCAGGAGGGTTTCTAACGTTTCTCGATTTGATACTTGCAGTTCTCAAAAGTCTACGAAATTCATGGAGACTGATTTTACCATCATTGTCAATGTCAGCTTCTTCAAGAAGTGGCTCAATGGACCCTTTCAAGCCAGTATGCTGCAAAAGAAACAAAAATAAAACAACACTTTAATATATAGTGTGACATTAATTACTTAAATAAGAAAAGCAGATAATATATGAATGCGACCATTCGAAGTTCCTCTGCTGTTATGTATCCATCTCCGTCTATGTCGAATTTCTCAAATGCTGCTCTTGATCTCTGTTGCCATTTCTCAGAATCATGCTCCTCTAATTGATTCACGTGTAACGCAGCAGCAACAAACTCTTCGAAATCCACAAATCCATCTGTGTTGCTATCAATCTGCATGGTGAGCCAAAACACAAAGTTTTAGCTTACCCTAGAAAATTGAATAATCTCATCATCATCATTAAACTAACTTAAAATTTACATTACATACCGCTTGAAGAATTTCTGCAACTCGTGCATCCTTAAGCTTCCAAGGATGATCTTTCGCAAGAGCCTATACAAAACATGCAAGAATTGATATCAAGTTTAGTATATTTAGTGGATCGCATTTTGCTAGTGATTAAAGAAGTTTTGTTACAGTTTTTGTTTTCAATTTTACCTGCCTCATCTCTTCAAGGCTAATGGCACCATTTTTATCAACATCAATCGCATCAAACTGGTCTCTAAGATCAGCCAACTCTTCTTCATCAAGCGTCGTTGCAAGCGCCTAGAACCAGAAAGAAAACAAACTCAGGCTATGAAAAACACACATCAAGAACCTCAAATGAAACAGAAATCTCTTCTTCTATAGATACCCTTAAAGCGAATTGCTTGAGGCGGCTAAATTTCACAAACTGACGCATGTTGTTGAGAACAGATATGTCTATGGGAATCTCAGTTGCATCTCCTCCTTCTCTAACCCATGGATGTGCTGCAAAACAAGAACAACAAAAAAAAAAAAAACCACAATTCTCAAAAGATGATCAGAAGATAAGAAGGCAGGAAAGATGAAAAATATAGGTCTTTACATAGGGCTTGCGCAGCTGTTAATCTAGCTCTCGGGTCTTTTACTAACAACTTCTTAACAAAATCTTTGGCACTGTTGCTGATAGTTGGCCATGGTTTTCTTCTGAAATCAGGTTTGTTCTTCAGGACCTACATACGTTTAAACACATCTTCATTACAAGATATTAAAAAGGAAAGATTTATGATTTCTTTTTCTTTTCTTGTTTCCCAAGGAAAACTAGACAAACCTCTTTGAAGATACCATCTTCAGTCTTATCCCAGAAAGGTCGTCTCCCACAGAGAAGAATGTAACTAATGACACCAATACTCCACACATCTGATTCAGGTCCTGACCTGCGTTTCAACACTTCAGGTGCTACGTAATACGCACTCCCTACGATATCATGAAACTTCTTGCCTACATTGTATCAACATTCTTGTTATATAACGATCATATCAAATATGAAGGACAAAAACACTTTCTGAAACTAACCTGGTTTTATGAAGTCTGATAAACCGAAATCTGTAGCTTTTAGAGGCGAAGCTTCTTCGGTTGATTTGAATAGAAAATTCTGTTGGAAATGAACAAAAGTTGTGAGCAGAATTCAAATATACACATTCAGAAACATGAATGATGATGAAGCATGTATACTACCTCTGGTTTCATATCTCGGTGAACAAGACCACGCAAATGACACTCAGCCGCAACTTTTAGCATCTGTCTCACTACCACGGCTGCGTCTCTTTCGCTATACCGACTATCTTTCCTGAAGACAATACAAGCAATAAGCTTCAAGACTATACTGCACCAATTAGCAATAAACGAAAAATGTAAGGCCTTACTTGGCTAATATCCGATCAAGCAATTCACCACCCTCGCATAACCTGAAGAACAATATCACCATCATTAAAATGTTTGCCCTTTTTATTTCTTGTGACGCAAGAAAGTAAACACAAGATCTAAAGGTTTTTGAACTTACTCCATGACTATATAAACAGAGTTCTTGTCCTCGAAGGCATTGTAAAACCGAACCACATTTTCATGACCTGTTAAAGCTTGTAATATCTTCACCTCTCTCTTTACATCTTCCACAGCAATCGGAATTGTCATCTACTCAAGAACGCAAGAATTAATCATAAAGAAAGATAAAAAAAGCCTGGGTTTTTTTTAGGCTAATTACAGAGAAAACAGCCAAAAGTTGAAACGATGATTTAAAAACCTTGGCTTTATCGATTTTCTTGACGGCGACACGATCTCCGGTTTTTTTATCGGTAGCGACATAAGTGTAACCGAATTGGCCATGTCCGAGCAGTTTCCCGATGGAGTAACGGTGATCGAAATCTTTGGCGTACCCAAAATCGATGCGCTTGCCGTAGGGGATCGCTTCTCCGTGTCTCCTCCCACCGTTATGATTATTATTGCTAACCTTCTCTCTCGCCCTCCCATGCGTTGGCGTCTGTCGCGTTTGCGTTTGCGGCGGCGTTTTCTTAGCGGGACGTCGCGGTTGGGTCCTGTGGTCTTTCTGGATCGAAACGGTCATGAATGAACACGGCGTTTGCGGAGGTCTGTGTTTAGCCACCGTGAGAGGAAGAGGAGGAGGATGAGGATTGGGATTCCGGGGGCTGCGGTTGTGGCGGCCGGAGACTTTGGCGGAGGAGAAACAGAGACCCATTGATGATGATTTTGTGGTGGTGGTTTCTCGGTTTCTTGGACCCTACGCGAGGAGGATGTTTTCTCTGGGGATTTTTTTGGCATTAATGAATAGGAAATGAGGTCGCCATCGAAACAGCATTGCCTGACAGCCAAAAAAAAATTGTATGCGAAATGTAGAGAGAGAAAAGAAGAAGGAGAAGCTTCGATGTGCCGTGTGCGTTGGTAGAGAAAATAGACTTTTTTTTTATATGTAAATAACTTTGATTTTTTTTTTATTGTTGCATAAATTTAACTATTACAACAGCAGAGAATGGAAAAAAATATATATAAAGAAATAGACTTTTCTCCAGGAGAGGAGAATAAAAAGAAATAAAAAATTGTAATTTTTTTGTTCCATTTAGCAATATACAGTAAAAACTTTACAAATTAATAATAATGTTGAGATTTTGATATTTTATTAATTTATAGAGATATTAAATTATAAATTTAAAATATTTTTTATTAATTTTGAAAAACGATTTTTTAAAAAAGATTATAATTTTTTAAAAAAATTCAGATGAGTTCAAAAAAAACTTTAAGTTAAAATAAATACAAAATATTATTAAACTCATATTTTAATAAATTATCTCATTTATATATTTATATCAAATTTTTTTATGGATTTTTAATTTATGATATTAATAGGACTATATATTTACATAGAAATTTTGTTAAATTTATTATTTTATTATCTTATTGAATTATGTCATATTTTAAACCAATCTAACTCAGAATTATAAAAAAATTATTAATTTATAATATTTATTAATTTATCAATTATTAATTTATAGAGTTTCTAGTGTATATTTTGTAAGAGAGGTATTATGTTCGCTAGATCATATCAACCGTAAAAAGAATCAAACGGCGGATATTTTAGCGAAAAAAAAACTAATGATTTTAATGTCATATTTGATGTATAATGTATTTGATCTACCGCCTAAATGGCTTGTAAAATACTTTTATTATCCTTTTACAGTATAATAATGAAATCAGATGTTAAAAAAAAAAGTTTTGGGGCGGGGGGAGACTATAGAAAAAATGACAACAACATTAATGAAAAAAGTAAATAAATGAAACTAATGTCGATACGTATGAAATTTCTGTATTTGGGCCCATTTGTCTATTTTTAAGCCCATTCAATCTCTAACTGACTGACCCACTAAAATACAGATTTGAGGATTCGGATTTAATTTTTCCAAGCATCGATCTTGCTAATTAATTACTTCCCATAATTACGGCCCAATTAAAAAGCATTTTCAGTGCACTTAAACTACACAGTAGTTGCTATTGCTTATCTTCTTCCCTCTTTGCTTCCAGCACAAGCATGGTTTTTGAGTAAGCCAAAATGATTATTATTATTTTCGTTTATTAAAAATTTAACAAGGACAGAAGAAACACATACTAATTCAAAATAAATATATATTATTAGATAGAAACACTATAGGGAACACCCATTCCAGTAACACCTGGTTCAGAGATGGGTTTCAAAAGCTCGTACTTAACAACACCAGCTCCAGCTCTATTCTTTAGAGAAACGTTCACGTTCCTCTCATCTATCACACCTTCTAGATATTGAAGCCTGCCTTTGAATCGTTCATATGCAGCATAGATGACAGGTTCGTTGGCCCAAAATGCTTCTGGCTCTTCTCCAAGGTACTCTTCATCTGGTGAATGAGTCGATAAAAGATCCAGAGTTACCATCACTGTCGTTGCCTGCTTCTGCGATGGGAATGTATTAAGCAACACTTTCTCTGGCTGCTCATAGAACTCTTTTAGCTCTTCCTCTGTTGGCTCTTCCACTGGCATTTTTATCCTTGTTGTGGTTGGTCGGTTTGGAAAGTATCCTCCATATCCGTATTGTCCAAAATTTACAGCTGCATGGTGACCAGAGGCCACCCATGCAATCTTTTTCACCACACTGATCAAGTCATCTTGTGTTTTGATGACAGGCCCACCATGGTTCGTCTTTCTTGTCTCCATGCCCTATGTTCCTCACTTCACTCCACCATCCTTGGAGTTCCTCATCCAACATGATCAGTCCTGCATCTGGATAATAGTGGTTCACATAGTCTGTTATCCATTCTTTTAGTGCATCCCATAGCATTAGACCATCATTTGCAAATGGGTAATCTGGTATCGTTAGTCGTACTCTATGTTCTGCAGTCTCATCTTCCACAGCCAGCCCTCTATTTTTTTTTTGTTTGGTATGTGTAAAAAAACAAAAAAATGTTAGCAATTGTAGTTTGTGGTGATAAATTAATCTTAATAAAAACACACTATGAATTTCAACACACCTTCTAATGAGGTCTGCAGGTAAGCCTTCCTTGTCGAACCTCCACAGTTTACCATAGACGTCTGAACTTAGCTCTACTGAATACTTGCCAGGCCAAAAACAAGACTCAATGATTCCACCTGCGTTGATGAGACTTTGGCGTGCACGAGCGTTGATCTCCATGGTGTAACGGAAGTGGGGATGCAAAAGCCTATAGATGGGATGCATGGCACTTAGTTGTCTGTTTGCAGCTATTATGTATAGCTCCGTACAGCAATGAGTCCTCAGCCTGTAAATTTTTCTAGTTAGCGATAACACATACATGTGTAATGCCTATGCAGCTAAAACCAAATCTTGCTGTTAAAAAAAAAAACAAGAACCATATAAAATGGTCTAATTTGGTGGTCATGAATACCAGTGGGAAATAAGCTGGTGATAACCAGCGTCATGAGCAACAGCGTGAGTCTTAGCAAGCTTCCATAGCCAGCAGGAGGTAGCATCATAGCCTGGTGTGAAGACCTGCTTCCATTGGGGCCTGTTGACATCTGGAGGGCGAGTCAACTCAATGGCAACAGGTCTCAATGTGCTATCATCGCTGAGGAAGAATAGTGTTCGAGATGCATATAAGGTGGTATCATCCAACTCTCTCACTTTGTTCACATACGGTAGAAGCAAATCGTGATAGTCCAACATGAATAATCTTTTATTCTTTAGAGCCTGCATACAAATATTATTCATTCATTATTGAAAATTCGATATTATTCAGTCATTAAGGAAAATCCTCCCTATGCATCTTTTTCTTTTTATAACCTATTGATGTGAATCATTTTACCTCATCAACTGACATGACTCCTCTGATTTCTTTTTCAACAATTTCCCAAGTGATGAGTGAGTTGGGATCACCATAAACCGCAGGGTCTAGTTCACTTTTCAACGGCCACTCCTAGAATAACAATGCCATTGTCTTAACTCTTGATTCTTGGAACAAAAGCAGAACATACATCAAAGGCGTATAATAGCTTACTTCAACTAGTTGAATGGAATAGGGATTAAGGCCTGCAAGTGTCTGGCGAGCGAACTCGTCATCTCGGATCCATGAAAATCTATCCTCTGAATCAAACATGAATTATAAGAAGAGTGAGATCAACTGTAGGTAGGTAAGTTCTACTATGGAATTTAAAAAAAATATATAAATTAGGAGAGAAGGAAGGAGGTACTGTTAAGGAGAACAGGAGGATCAAACTGGAGAAGATCATCTTGAGCTTCAGCAACAGCTTTGATAAGTCTAGGGATCATAGGTAAAAGGCCAGCATCTTTAGGAAGCTGGATGCCTACTTCAAAGAGATCTTCTATGGACTTGAAGTGTGGAAAGGGTGACCTAGGATCAAGAAGAGCACACTCAATCTGTGGGAAAACAGAAGGAAGAGCTGCCAAGATGGCCTTGCTAGTGAAACTATTTCCCTTATCTGTAGAGAACTCCTCGTCTCTTGGAACATAGAACTCTCCATAGCGTTTCTCTGAGGAAGGATCCTTATCGCAGAGTTTACGACCAGTCTTGCAGCGTCTTGGATACGGATGAGAGAGACCTCCAATAACAGGACGTGCAAGTTCCACATCTCTGTCAGGGTCACCAACATCGTTGTAAACGTCATAGTCGTAAACACGCTCGTACTTGGTGAATTCACCATCTCGCTCACGGTTCTTGCCTTGCAAGGTCTCCAACTCTTGCTTTCGTAGCTTTTTAAGAGGCCCTGGTGTTTCGTTAGGCAAGTAGGACTTGTTGGAGAAGAATATTCGCTTGGCTGGATCCAGACTTTGGTGTCACCCATGAGTTACATGTAAACGTCACCGAGCCGCTAGGTAACTCTAGCTCCATCTCCTTGATGAACATCTCTTTATGGTGCTGGTTTTGAACCCTAATGGCCCCCACGGTTCCAAAGTCTTCGGGCATGTCAAAGACACACTCGTACTTCTCATCCGGGGCCTCGAACCATACACGTTGTGCGTAGTCTTCGACCGGATCCTTCTCCATCAGCGTGTCTGACATATATGTGTACCAATTATTGTTACCATGAAGTAATAAGCTATGATTGCATGAACCTACTCTTTACTTCGCTATATATACTCCAAATGTGCTATATATATATATATAATATATAGGACCATGCCTATGAACAAGAAAAAGAAACATTCGCCCACAGATCTACTTTTTTTTTTTTAAATGAAGATCAGTTTTTTAGTTAAATTCAGAAATTGTTAGTAATAGAAAAATATTTGTTTATATAAAATTAATAATTATGTTTAAAAAATTAGTAACTAATTAAAAACATTTTAACAACACAGTAAAATAATAATAATTATTTGTTTTATATAAACCAAATTGATTCTATATAAATTTGAGATGATGATAGGTTAATTTTTTTTTAAACACCGTTTACAACTCTCAAACTATATATATATAAATGCTTGTTTGATAAATGCTAAAATGTATATATATATACAGTAAAAACTTTATAAATTAATAATATTGGAACTGTAATATTTTATTAATTTATAGAGTTATTAATTTATAGATTTCAAAGAAAAAGTATTTCTTATTTCTTATTCATTTTAAAAAAGAAGGTATAATTAAAAAAAAAATTCTAAAATTTAAGATGAATTTCAAAAAAAAAAATAATTTAAAATAAATAAAAAGCATCACTATACTCGTATTTTAGTAGATTATCTCATATTTATGTTTAAATCAGATTTTGTTTATAGAAATTATTAATTTATGATATTAATGAGACCATATATTTACATAGAAGTTTGTTAAAGTTATTATCTTATTATCTTATCGAATTATGTCATATTTTGAACTGACCCAACTCGGAACTATGAAAAATTATTAATTTATAGTGTTTATTAATTTAACGAGTATTAATTTATAGTATTTCTACTATATATATAAATATATATAAATGCTTGTTTGATAAATGGTGTACTCACGAGTGTCAGTCTTGGTGCTTATAAGCTCGACGAGGAGCGATCTGCCGCGGATATCGGTAATGTCATCGAGAGGTCTCGTCCAACCTAGGCCCTCCAGCAACGTCCCTTCTTTGGCCGTTATGTATCCTTTTACTTTTATTTTCTTGACTTTTTCTTTCACTATTTTAGCTTTCTGGTCGATATTAGACTGTGAGCTCGTGACCTTACATCGTCCTCCGAGGTTTTGACGACGACGACGACACAGCTTGTCTCGACCTCCTACCGAAATGGGCTTGATGAGTGCTGATGGATTAGGGAATAGAGAGTTTACACTCTTTGCTATGTTTAAAGTCTGGAGACTCGAGGAAGACTCTCTACAAAACATCTTTTTATCTCTTTGCTTTCTATTTTGCTTTACTTCCTCTGCATTCCCCTTCCTCCCGAGTCATCTCTTTATACAAGTAGTCTAAAGATATTCTTTTTTTTCTTCTCTTTTTGGTGTCATTTCTAAAAATATGAAAAGAAAAAGAAGCAAAGATTGTTACGTTACAAATTTATGTTGTGTTCTACTGAAATAGCAAAGGAAAGAGCGCGCACGTTTTTGTGTTGTTGATACCCAACTTCAACGATAATTTTACCCCCACACTAATCCTTTGGGACATGGACGAACTAAAGAGCTAGCACCATACGTGCCTCTATCTCTTAATCTCGTCTCCATGTCTCATATGTGAACGCTAACTTCTAATTATGGCCAGTACTTTCTGTCATATTATCAAGAAAGACAAACACATTATTTATATGCATAGGACCACCTGCAACTCCTAGTATACACTCATTTTTTTGTGTTTTGGAAGATGGTAGATAGTTTTGCGATGGTTTACGTAACATTTAATTGACTCAGTTCATATTTTGTAACAAAATATGTGTTTGATGTAGCGATAGATAAACTAAATATAAAAAATAAATAAAAACCACATTTTACTGGTTTCTGTGTTTTAGGCATTTGCTTGCTTGCTTGCTTGCTGGCTGCTTCAATTAGAGTAACTAAGAGAACAAATGATCTACCTTGTTATTTTTACTGTCCCTTTTAAGACCCAAAATAAAAACGTATTAAATTTTTTTATGGTAAGGAAAGGATCACAAACCCCAAGATACAAAGGATGATCATATGATACAAGCAAAACATATAGGGACAATTAAATGTTTGGAGGAGATGGATAGGGATAATTAGTTCTATGTTTCTCCTTTCCTTGTAACTATCCTTCATGAGGCTCACACTGTTTCATTAAAGCAAAGTTTATGATGTTATAAAATAAATGATACTATCGAAAACTATTTCTTAAACTTTACTTTTGAGTTTGCCAAAAAAAAAAAAAAACACTTTACTTTTGAGAAATCATTAACAACTTTTGAGTCTTCATGTCTTGTAGATTAGAGAACTAATTTATCAAATACTAGAACTTCAATATAACACTCAAATCAGAAGTGGCATTTGATCAGTTTTCGGCTCTAAAATTTTCTAAAGACAATTTCAGAAACATCAAGATGATTTTTGCAGAGAGTAAAGAAAGTGTGATTCTGATCATGAGGAGAAGAAGTAAGAATCGAACTTGCTAGTTGTCGTCATTGCAAGCGTCCTTTAACGCAAGCAGTTTATAAGAAGCTTCTGCACGAGCCTCATCCAATTTTTCCGAGAGCTCTTTCATGAAATGTGTACTTGTTCCGTGGCTGATCCGTAGAATCTCAAAAGCCTTAGCCAGTGACCTCACTGCTTCTTCGGTTTCCCCCAGCAACCTGCAACATAACAATTATGCTTTTCCATCAGCAGAATACGATAGTAAGTCACTGCACTCGAGCTCAGATAAAAAAACAAGAGAAGCTAATATGGTTGGTAAGTTCCTACAAGCACATCACGAATCAGTGTTCAGATAAAAAAGCTACTATGGAATGTTGCAATTAGGCTTAACCCCATAATAGTTTGAGATCCTAACTGAAAGTTACTTTCGAATAAGAGTCTAAAGCAGCTGGAAAACATGTAGTGTAAAGGGAAAACGATAATTTGGTCCTATGAAATTCGACAAGATCATTAAAATGTCGGGAATGTAGAGCACTAATCCATCTTCAAGCTCTATGTCAGTTTTCAAAGCTCAAAATCTATTACAGGTGAATACAAAAACTAGAGAAAGGATAAAAGAATTTTTGATACCATTCGAGTTTTCCCTGGGTATAGAACTGCAGTCCAATCAAAGGATGGGTTGCTGGATATATTCCTGCAATTTTTGGGAACAAAGTAAGTACAAATAAGTAATATAACAACCAAAAGCATTTGAATGTATTAACATGTATCTAGTATATTATTTAGTAGGCACTAGTACAGTAACTCGGCGTATCATTTATATGTAGCTGTTTCTGCTAAAGGTAATTAATTAGTAGGCACTAGTCACTCGGCGTATCATTTGTACAGTAATTCTAAGAAAATGTACATAGACCAAACTCTATAAAGAGCTTCCAAGTTATGTTCAAAATATAGATAACACACCTAACCTATATACTAGAAGCCTGATTACTGCCTTTTAAGGTGTCGACAAACCATTGATCGAACTTTATGCGATGAGGAGAAAAGTAATAATAATCAAAGATGTAGCAGACATACTTTGGTAAACAGGGACTATTAGTCTGCAGTAATTCAAAACTTCTCTCCAGCTTTCTACTTCCATTAGCATCTGCAAAAGAATGCGTAACAGCAAGCTTTGAGACACCACATTTGTATCGTAATTTTTAAACTCTGTACAACTTTCAAAATTCAAAAACCTTCTTTCCAAAAGAAACGTACCTTGAGAAGTTTTTCACGGGTTCTCATTAAAGTGATGGAGAAAGAATGGTAAAGCCTAATATGTAGTTTCTCCATTGCTTTATATAGTGCAATAGCGTCCTGTTTATCTAAAAATGGTCAAAGATTCTCTCAGACTACTTCCAACACAGCTCAATGTAACCAATATCAGTTAAGTTTGTTCAGACATATAAGCAAAGGAGGTAACATATACTTTCTGCGGAAGGAGATGCAGGAGCCTTCTCTGAAACTGTTTTGACATCACCCGCTAACTTTTTTACCTCTTCCTTGCTCCTAAGAAGCTTGCATTTCTGGCAAACAAAGCCTTTTTCATCTACAAAAGCCAAACAAAAGGGGGTGGCTGGGATCAATAACGTTCTTGGACACATAAACTACGTAGTCAAATCTTTACATACCAGGATCACGGAGTAAGAAACCAGTGCAAGTCTCATTGGCACACCGATAGCCTTCCAATATTGCACTTTCTTCAATATCATGAGGTTTGCCCTGAGGTGTGAGAAATGTTGGTACAGGTTGTAAGAAATCTAGAATTTTGAGTGGTCAATTGCAAATCCATTCGTTGATAAGTGGAAGAATTAGTGACTACTTACAATGTTACTGCATCCCGCACACTCGCAGTGGAAGAGGTATTGTTCTTTCAGAGACTTCTGTCGAGTCAGAGTGCTTCCAGCGGTTTCAATGTAGCTGATAGTTACCTGATCAAAGGCAAAGGACCTACAGCTATATGTCAGTGTGCTATTACCATATACGAAACACTCGAGATGAAACAAAGCAAAAACTACCTCTGAATCCTTCGATATATTCTCCATAGCTCGAACGACAGCCATCTGTTCTTCAAACACTAAAATTGCGTTGGGGGAGCAGCTACAGAGAAAAAGAGTTAGGCAAGCAACAAACTGATTAAAGAGCACAAACAAAAACAGATTAATGAAGCAATTACCTGTGATTAATTATGGAAACCAAGGGAAACAATCCTATCCCTTGAGGTCTCAATTCGCTATCACAAATGCTATGAGCATTGCATGAGAACTGCGTTCAGTAGAAATGAAAGTGGCTTAAATAATCATCACTAGAAAACATTCTAGGTTGAAGAATAACACAAGAAATTCTTCCATTGTAGCTCAACAGATAATTGCTATCCTCAACTAAACGAAGTGACCAATCTCTTTCGACATTTGGCAGCAATTCATGTGTTTTCAGATGCAAAATCATATAAAAAAACTATCAATGGCAGCTAGCAGCAAGAAAATTTAGTTTGTGTCAAGCTAACGCCAGAAGAACGGACAAACGGGGTTGGTGAAAGAACCTTTGAAAAGTTCTCAGCAATCTCTTTTAGATCAATACTAGGTAACTGAAGAACCAAGTTCACAAGATTAGCCATCTGTGCATACAACATCAGCTGCTTTTCATCAAGCTCAGACATATCTACCAAATAAAGGTTAAAGGAGACAAAAAGTATACGCACATCTCGGCAAAAGAAGAATCATCAATTCCACAGAACAAAAGCCCAGAAAAAGAGGATACGGGACACCATAGCCTCCACCAAACTGTAATTGTCTGTTGTCGTGATTGGCATGACCTGGTTCAGATAAACACATTAAGATACATAAACTACTATAAAAATGACTCTAGGCAGTATATTGCTATCTTTACACTATACTAGCCTTCTCCTCCGCATTTCAGCACGGTATATCAAAGAATCAAACGCATTACAACATAGCAACGAAACAAGAAAAATCACTCATATCTAGAAAAAAATACTGAGGATAACCTTATCATTTTGTAAGTTCCTCTTGATGTAAAGCTTCAGCATCAGACGTATTGTAGGAGTCACTAACATTCGTTTCTCCTTCTCAAGCCTAGAGAGAGCTATGCATTCATGGCGATGCAACTTCCACTCTGACTTCTGAAAAGAATCAAAATAAACAAAAACCAGTTACAATACGAATCAATCTTTCAATTAAATTCCTCCAAGACAGAATCGACTCCATTGTACCTGGCATGAGCTCCCACAGTACCAAACCACTTGACAACCGGAACATTTCTTAAGATTATTGGTCTTGAAACATCCATCACATCTTGATTCATTATTCGGAACACAAATATATGGTTCTTGGCTTAGAATCACTTCTCCTGGGAGAAAAAAACACAGGACATCAGTCGCCGAAATCTCAAACGGAACCCTAAAAACCCGTACAAAAAGAGATGAACCTGGACGAAAATCTCTGGCAGTAAATAGAGAGCGGCCTTTGCCTGGGATATTCAAAACGGTTAAGCAGCGATCTCCAAGAAACTTCTGCAAATCCGCCATTAGCGAAGCTTCGGTTGTCTTCTCCGTTAAGCACTCGAGTACTACTACGATAGGTTTCTAGAACAACGGTAACTTTGAAATCCATCAAACTTATTTGCTATTTGCTATTTGGGCCTGGGCTTTCTTAGCCCGGACTGCCACTTTTTATATAATGAACTAGGCCTGCTCAATCGGTTAGTGTATCGTATAGTACGGGTTTTAAAGTTGGGAAAACAATTTATTTTTTCTTAAGAACTGTGACATAGTAACAGGTTCAGAGTCTGAGTTTCGTCTTATCTCTCCCTTTGATAAAGTTTTAACATCAATTTCCCCTTAATTGGATGTTTGTACACCTATTCAACCCGAACCGTTGAATTGAATGGTTTTTAGGTAATCTTGATAGAAAAATAGGTTTGTTTAAAACCAGAATAATTTTTAAACCCGACCAAACTGAAGACCCGATTCTGTTAAAACCTGATTCGACATCTTAAAAACCCGACCATATTTCAATCCGAAAATCCCCAAATTTGAAGCTGACGAACCCTAAACCCTTTATTTCTTAAGCGATTGTGAGTTTGTAGTTTAGGGTAGGTGTTCTTACATGATTTTGAGCTTATGAGGGTCGATTTCATAAGTTAGAAGCTTTATAACATTCAATTTCCTGGGTTTGATGTTTTTTTTTTTTTTTTGTAGATTCGATGATGAGCCATGAATCTGGAGCTTCGAGTGCAGCATCAGGTGTTCGAGAAAGAGAGAAATGTGTGGGGGTGCCTAAGAGATGTTCCTGTGGGGATTTAATTGTGGCCAGAATTTCTAAGTCCTGACTCTAACCCGTATTGGAGATATTATTATTGTTCATTTGCGGTTGAACAAAAGATAAACTACGTACTATGATTCCCTTTCTTTTAGCATAGTCATTTTGATCCAAAATTAAGTGTCATTGGTTATTATTGATGTAGCTTGTCAATGACAATCACACTTTCAAGTGGGTTAATGAAGCATTGTTGAATGAGATTGAGGCATCCAAGTTTAGAATAGATAGACCTGAAGAAGTTGTTAAACCAATTGAGACAGATCGTATGGAGGCAGAGAAGCAGATTGATGTACGAGAAGTTTCAATTGATGTTAGAGAAAAAGATTGTTGAACGAGTGGAAGAAAGGGTACTTGAAGCAAAATCCGAAATGAAGAAATTGATGTTGATTGTGTGTTTTGGATGTGTGATCATCCTTGGTTGTAGCAAGCTTGTTTGAAGCTTATTTGTAGTTTATTTGTAATCTTGGAAAGGTTGTTTGAAACTCATGTGGTAATGGTTGAATCAATTATAAAATTGTCTTTGGTATTTGTTTTAGACTCATTTGGTGTATTGACTCAATTATAAACTATTGTAAATGACATAACCATAAGATAAATTGAATAAGATAACCTTAACATATCCTGAATTGTTTACAAACCTAGACATCATGTAAAGCCACAGACACAACAGGTCCGAAAATAGATGCCAAATAAAGACCTGAATTGTTTACAAACCTAGGCATTATGCAACTCCACAGATCAGAAAAGGTCTGAAAAAAATGCCAACTAAAGAAGGTTTTGTAACAAAGAAAAGAGACCAAACAGGTCCAAAAAACTACACGATTATAATATTCATTTCCCAAGCTGAGTAAGAACTCATTGAGAACATTCAGGCTGAGATGATGATTCACCTTGAGAAGCCTGCAAAAACAAAGAGAAGGTTACATTACTATAGAAAGAATATGAGACATTAGTCAACGTAAAGAGAAGATAAGTCCAAACCATTGTTGTTTTTTTCTTGTGAAACTGTCAATTGTGATTAGCGGCTCCACAAACTTTGCAATGCATGATCCTCTTCAGAAACTTGTCTTGCTTCTTCTTCACCAGAGATTCAGCTTGTCATTTCTTCCTTTTTTTATCCGCCTTATTCACCTTATTACGGCCAGGCATGTCTGGTGACGGTGACTGCACTATCGAGGGTTCTTCTGGAACTACACCGTTTGTGTAAAGATTTCTCCAGGTATGGGTCCTAAACCAGTGGCAAACATAGTTCTAAGCTTCCATTCCCTTGTGGATCATCACGCCGTAGGCATGTTCACAAGGGATGCCGGTGATTTCCCATCTTCTGCAGGTACAAGTCCTCTCCACCAAATCAACTCGATAAGCAAATCCGTGGAGGCTTGAATAATACTTCATATTGGTAGAGGGTTGGACGATACACTTTGAAGCATCCTCATGCAACTCGGCCAAATACCTACTCACATATGGAGTACATAACCCTTGGTGGTTAATAGCTTTGGCACTTCTCTTAGCGATACGAACCATTGCAAGTGTTGCAATGGTCTTTAGCATCGTCACTAAAGCCTTATCTCTGGCTTTGCCTGAAACATAAACATAAACAAAAATGAACATATAGTCTTCAAAAAACATAAACATAAACATAAAATATATGATATTGAAACATACCTATAGAATTGTTAAACGATTCCACGGAATTGTTCTCCACATCTTCACAAAACGGTCCTAATTTGTAAAAGGCCATGCACCAAATCTCCGGCTTCATCTTCAGCAGATCAGCGGAAACAGCTTCGTCAAAGAGCTCTATCTTCTTCAAATTGTCTCTGAACTCTGGTTTGTTATAGCTCCAAGCTAAATTCCAGATTGATGAGTGGAGATTTTGACTCATTCTAACCTGTGTTTACTAATTGTTTTAAGAGTTTTTGGAGTCTTTTCAGGAAGTTTCAGGTGACTTAGAGGCCTTATCAGAGGATTGGAATGTTTAGGAGGCATTGGAGCAAAAGGAGATGAATTTGAGCAATAAGGAGCTATTTCATTCGCTTTTGGAGAAATCATCCGCGGAGCACCTGCTCCCGGTTTGGACCCTTCGTGGAGCACCTGCTCCAGACGGGAAAAAATAAGGAAAACATCTTTACCTAATTCCAAGCCGCGTGAAACGAATAAAAAGAGCCAAGAGCCGCCTGTCTTTTCTTTTACGCTTTCTTTTTACAATTTCCTGAACCATAGAGTTTTTACTTGTAAGCTTTTGGGAGAAGAAATCTGCTACACTTTGAGAAGAATTCTGAACCCTATTATCTCTTCTGCGATTTTAATCCATGAATTTCTTTTCATCTGATGATGTGTTTCTTTTCTCCATGTCTGAGTAGATCTCTTAGCTAGATTAAAGCGTTCAAAGGATTTGATGAGTTAAAGAATTAGATGCAAATAGGGCTTGATATTTATTGTCTTCACCATTGTTAGACTTAATGCTTAGGTTGAATTGATCACTCAATCTGCGATTTTAGGTTAATCTATTCATCAAAAGTGTAATAGGTTTCTAGAATAAACATTGGTGAGCGATTTGTACTTAGCCAACGACAGTTGAAGTTAAGGCAAATCGTGAACAGATCAAACCTGCTAGCTAATGCTTGTCTGCAATTTTCTAGGTTCAAACGACAATTTAGGATTTAGGTTGTTAGACAAAGTTATCGAGATCACGACAGTGGATCGATAAGCTTTTCTGTTTGAATTCGAGACTTGCATTACACTTGTGCCCTGAATAGTCATCTGGTTCTTATCTCTGAAATTCCTGCGAATTGCTTTGGTCTATTGCTTGTTTTAATTCGAATTTAAATCGTTGTTTGCCATTCTGTTTACTTTTTAGTTTTCGCAACAAACCATCTTTTGTCTTAGCTTTAATTCAATCTTCACAAAGTCATAGAGTAACACTGGTCCTCTGGATTCCGAATCCTTTATATTACAACTACATCACTGTTCTATTGCAGTAGAAACTAGGAGTACTTCTAGTGTGAATCACAGATCAAGCCCTGCAACTCTGGCTTCTTTGCATTTTGAGCCTTCAAATTCATGTAAATGTGTCTTGCACACATTCTGTGTTCAATCTTAGGTAGCACTTCCTTGACAGCAGCAATCAAGCCCTACATTTAAACATTTTTACAAAGTTAAAAGTGAAAACACTATAGACTAAACCATTAAACTCAATACTAAAATGACAAGGGGAAAAGCATAAGTGATTTTTTACCTTTGGACGATCAGAAACCAAGACATAACCATCTTCATCGCCAAGTTCTAAATCAGCCTTGATCTTCTGAAAAACCATGTCCAGTTATTTGTGTTTTCTTTTTGAACTACAGCCCAAACAATTGGGTAGATTCGATTATCTGCATCTCGACCATTGGTGATGAATAACTCACCTTTCTAGGAAGCACCCATCAACTCCTATAAGCGGTCAGCAATGTTGTTTCCAGGACTTCCTCAGATTATCAAAACACACATAGAATCGCTGGAAAACATGTTGTCCCTCCTTATTTGTCACACAATCAACCACCACGGAAGAACCAGGGTTCGATTGCTCTATCTCAGCCTTATATTCTCTAAGGAGAGCAATCTCTAAGGCGAGCAAACTGCTCTGTATACTCTACCACAATCCATCTCAATGCCTTATTCCTAGCATGTTGACATTGAGGCCTTGACACAGAGATCCTTCATTTCTCCATAATCATTTCTTCAATCTTCATAGGCATGTACTCCGGTTCTTCTCTTATTTTGTCCAAGAACAAACGAGCAATCACAGGGACCTTCATCATCTTGCATTTCCCATTAGGAACAGATGTATGCTTGGACGGAAATGTTACAACCTGCCACGTACCAGTCTTACCAGAAATTGAGCTATAGATGCCCCATGAACATCCTTCACCGCCACATTTGAAGCTCAGCTTGGTTTTGTCATACTTGTTCTGCACGATATTGAAGCCAGTTTTCAATGCATAATCGAGCACAGCCTCCTTTAACGCAATACCGCTGATGAATAGTTGCCCTTTGAACAAATTCCCATCTCTTATCCTTATATCATATCGCCTCTTCCTTGCTTGTTGCTCTGCATTTCCTTCATTCGGTATATCAGGATACACATTGTGCCTTAAAGGAGGTCCATCGATGAATTGTGTCAGTGCTTCATCTATGTTGTACTCGTAACGCTCTTGACGATCTTCACCATCATAATCATAACCAGTAATTCTTCCTGGAACGCAGACACACTATGCCACTCAACTATCGACATCCCTTGAATCTACACCACATCATAAACTTCGAAATATATGAGTCAAAAATCCAAGATTAAAAAGAGATTCTTCAAATGATACAACCACTTTGGATATCGACAAAATTCCAGAAATTGAAGCAGCGTACCTTGGATTTGTCGACGCAGATTGAAGGGTTTTGGTCGAATGGAGATTACAAGGGCCACCTCTCACTCGCTCAGGGATTTAGGGTTCGTCGATATAGGGTTCATTGAATTTGAAGATTTTGAAAATTGTGGGAAATCGATTTAGGTATTATAATTGGGTCTTATTTGGTTCAAGAATTAAAATCGGGTCAAATCCTGGTTTATGTGTTGTTATCAGGTCAAATCCTGGTTTATGTGTTGTAATTGGGTCATAATCCGGTTTACATGTTTTACTAGATGGTTAACTTTAATCTAGTAAATAGTAAACCACTATAAATCACAGTCTGGAGGAATTTTTGATTAGAAATTTTACAAAAAAGGTTAAAAACGTGTACAAACATCTAATTAGAAGAAAATTGGTGTTAAACTTTATCGGATAGGAAGTTAAGACGAGATTCAAACTTTGAGTGAATTTGTTACTATATCATAGTTCGGGGAAATAAATCATTTTTTCTTTAAAGTTAGAACTAAAGTTTCCGGTATTTTTGGTTAAAGTCGGTTGATTCAGTTAGTTCGGTTTCTTGATTTGTGATTTTAAAATATTGAGTGCCGAAAGGAACAAACCAATTGATTTTGAACTGTTATCGACCGGTTCACAGCTCATAAACCAAAAACTGAAACCTAGTGAATAATGTAAAGCATTAGTTTTCGATCGTTGATAGAGTAAAGCATTAGTTTTCGATCGTTGATAGAGTAAAGCATTAGTTTTCGATCGTTGATATAGTAAAGCATTAGTTCGGCTCGGATAATTATCACAGGCCTACCAATTTTACAAAATCTGTAAATCTCTTTACACTAAGATACGATCGTTGATATAGTAAAGCATTAGTTTTCGAACCACTAAACCATTCTGACAAACCCCAATGCACCGGTTCCTCTCTCGGATGTATTGGCTCATGGGCAAGCAAAACAACATCATCAGATATCAATATTTCAGATACAAAAGGAACATGATGGGCAGTTAAAAAGAAAAAAAATTGGACTAAAAATAAAATAAAATTGGGAATACATTGTTCTTTGAACGTTGCTTCTTTAGAAAACGTAACTACGTATCAATCAAAGGAGTGCGACATACATACACACAGACACAGTTACATATTTACAAACCTAGTGAATAATTATAGCTACCATTAAACTAAAAACACCGAAACACAAATTTCGACAAAGTAGTTTAAAGTTAGAACCAAGGATGCCATGTTGGATCCATCATACATAAGTTGCGAGGTGACAAGGCTGCCTCCACCAACTCGTTCACTCCTCTTTGCACCGACTGTGGCGGCTCCACAGTGTTCTCATCCTACAAAACCAATCCCCAACAACATGTTCATTTTATATTGATAATGAAGAATGATGAATGATGAATGATGAATGATGAGTGATGAGTGATGAGTGATGAGTGATGAGTGATGAGTGATGAGTGATGAGTGATGAGTGATGAGTGAGTGATGAGTGATGAGTGATGAGTGATGAGTGACGAGTGATGAGTGATGAGTGATGAGTGATGAGTGATGAGTGATGAGTGGTGAGTGATGAGTGATGAATGATGAATGTTGATGATGATGGTGATGCCATTTACCTCCTCCGAAAAGTACTGTGGGGCTATTCCTCTGATCCGGCTAATGACATCTCCCACATTGGAGTTAACTTTGTCCTTCAGCTCGGCTGAGTTCAATGTAGCGATTCCTCCAACAGGAGGAATCGGCACACCAAGAGGTCTTCTTCCAAACCAGGACAGCAATTCATCACGGAAGAACATAGCCAGTTGATACCGAAGATGATCGTTTTGCTGAGTTTTTTTTAAAAAGAGAATAGAGATCAGAGATCAATCAATGGCTTGTTGCATCCATTAGCTTTTGTATATAATTTTCTTCTTTTTGGATTATCACTTTACCTTGGAGGAGATAACTGCTTGAGCTGCTGAAACACATGGATGACATGAGAATAACCTTCGACTCCAAACTGAGAAAAGAATGCTTGCATGTTCCTTGTGAGGCGGAAAGGCACAGGTTCATTAAACTCGATCATCCCATTGGCGTCATAGGCAGGGTGAAAATCTGTCTGGAACATTTTTCCGGTGTTTTTCGCAAACAGCACCTTGTTGGGCGACCTCCCACCGATTTGTAGCATGAAGGACATGAAACTGGAGACCGCTAGCTGGACTGCAAACTGCTTCTTGAAAGCCCACATATGGCTTCCGCTCATCAATGTTTTGTACATGTACTGAGAGAATATACTGTCATTGACCAAGGTCTTTGTGATGTCACTGTAAGCTTGCAAACGAAGATCTCCTATTGCCTCTGCTGATACTTGCCCTGTTATAGCTTGATTGAGTTGCTCTTTAAAGTGGTTAATTGGAAGATCTGCCTCTCGGTCATTTCGTGCACAGTGATTCTCATACACCTCAAGGAAAGTGTTGTACATGAGATCATCCTCAACCATCCGGACCTGAAACCAAATATGTTGTTTACAGACCATGCTGAGAGAGAAAGAGAGAGGCAGAGATAATTCCTCTATGTTCCAGACCACGCATAGATAATCATCCAATAAAACAACAAATTTGAATTTATGGGATTAAAAGTCACCTGAGACCAGACAGGAATGATGATTGGAGTGTGAATTCCAATGTGTCGTCTTCTTGATTCCTTATGCTTATCAAACATTTGGTTCATCACACGGAATAGCTGCAAGATGCGTTCATCACTTCTGGCATTAGGCGTCAATGATGTCTGGACTATAAAATGCTTTTGCGAGCCATCTGAGCCAATAAGAGTCAACCGCCTGAAGCTGCTCCCATGCCTTCGAACAATAGGCACATCTGCTCCAACCCTATCTAACTTAACTGTATGATCAGGTGCTACTTCCTGGATAGTTGAGCGCATGATTAGTTTCACAAACATGTCGAGGAAAAAAAGTTCCATTCAAAGACTAAATTAAATGCAATTACAGACGTAATTCTACCTGGTCACCAAAATACTGCCCTGGTATCTCCACGTCAACAACATTGAAGTCACGCAATACTCTGCTTTCATCTTCCAATCTTAATACAGCCGGGAACCTGTCTTCAACATTGCTCTGAAGAATATTTTTCCATTTTTTCAGTCGTGTTGTCAGCTCAGCAAGTGTGACCGGGAATGTAGTTGTACTTTCTGGATCAAGGTGACGCTCAAAATCCTGTTTGTACTCTTTCACAAATTCGACATGCTTGGTCACAGCATCTGCTGAGAAACAAGCTCTGCAGACACCCGACAGTTCTTTTTTTAGCGGTTGTGGAACCTCAGCAGTGGTGGCAGTTGGATACTTGTAACAACGATGCAACAGAGCGTTCACAACCGCCAGCAATCTTTCTTCTGGTAGTGTAACAAATCTCGAACCTATTTCCGTGAGAAGAACCTGAAAAAGAAGATTATTGCTTAGATCATCGACACCAAAGAGGAAGGAAACTTGGACAGTTGAGTTTCTTCTTCCAGATAGTTGTATATTCCTCCATTATTCAATTCATCTCTAAAATAAAATTGTATGTATCTAGAGCTATTTTAACAAACATTGTTGATATATATACAAACAGAAAAAAATATCACCTCGAGTTCACTGGCTAAGTTGTTATGTTTACTCCTAAGAGCTTCCATAATATCCTTGGCAGCGTCAAAAGCACCTGCAGCAGAGATTGCCAAGGATGGACCATTCCGTCTCACTGTGTTTTCCGTGTTTTCATTGATATTAGAGCTGCTTTGGTGCATAGATTGATCATTCCCGGGATGAACATTATTTTCTGCGGTGGAGCGTTCACTTTCTTGCCCATGTGGGTTACCACTGTCATGGGTTCCACCGGCTCCGCTAGTTTGAGCGCCTTGATGGTTTTGAGTTTCCGATGGTAAATTGCCTCCACCATGACCCGCTACACCAGAAGTATTTTGCTGCATTCTTTGAGCCAAAACCAATCTGCCAAGTTCAGACTTATTTACCGCATCACGTCGTTCCAGTAAGTATGTGCGCAACCAGTAATAGAGAGCCTGAAATGGAAAATCTCCCACATAGTCAGATGAAATAATCAAAATGCACGACTTAGTCATTATAACGCTAAAAGCTAAATTACCTGTGGGAAGACTGCAGCAATTTTCAGTAAGACCAATTTGCAATGGGGTGCTTCAGTTCTTTGAAGGGAAAGCAACAGTTGTGGGATCCAAGAAAGCCACACCCAGTGAGGAACTTGTTCTAAGTGTTTATCAAACACCCTGCCAACAGGCTCACTGGCTGTATCGAAGCTAAGAAGATAAAGAACACGAGCTATATGACTTCTGGAATTGGAAACTCCAAATCTTATACCCTGAAGAAAGCAACTGACAGCATATTCAAGCCAGATTTCATCTTGTGTTTCTTGGTAGGCCTACAAACGAGAGTATCATATTAGTACAAGGCATACGAAAACTGAGGCATGTTAAAAGAATATAAGAAACACAACATAATCATAAGAATACCATGTCACAATAGTTTCCCCAGCTTATCCATCCTTTGGGTAAATTCTTGAACAGGGTGATTGCACTGGAATATGCAATATTAGCACCTTCGGTGTCATTTAATTTCAAATGAAAATCCCCTTTCAAACGAAAGATCTCTGCTTTGATTTTATCTGGAAAATACTCCAAATTTGTGCTATTGATCAGATTAAGACCACTAGCACGCTCTCCCTTCATTTCCAGATAAGCTTTTGCCTGCTCTCTAATTTTAACAAAGGCTTCCTGCACTCATACACCCAAAAAAAGAAGACAAGGATGATACCTTCATTAACAACAACATTTCAAGACAAATCAAACAAGCTATCAAACAAACTTGGTAAA